TATTCAACTTGTGGTCTACTATGACTCCTAGATCCCTTTCACACGTAGTCTCATTCAGCCAGGTTTCCCCCATCGTATATCTGTGCTTTTCGTTTTTCCACCCTAAATGCAGTACCTTACATTTCTCCGTGTTGAATTTCATTTTGTTAGCTTTGGCCCAGCTTTCTAATCTATTAAGTTTATTTTGAATTTTCATCCTGTCCTCTTGGGTATTAGCTATTCCTCTCACCTTTCTTTCTGGTAAACCCTTTAAGCCCTTGGCTACAACTGATTTGCAGCTTCTGACATAGAAGATAGCCTTCCTAGTTGCTATCACTTTGGCTCGACGTGCCAGTGAGATCTGTGCTCTCCGAAGTGACCAGCGCTACCTCTGTTTTCACAAGGACAAGGTGGTACTCCATCGTGACATCACCTTTCTACCTAAAGTGGTCTCCTCTTTCCACCTCAACCAAGGTACTGCACTGCCTATCCTAGCCCTAAATCCAACCACTCATGCCGAGCATCTCCCGCTTGCCCTCTGTGTCTGAAGGGCACTGGCTTTCTATATGGACAGGATCTTGGGTTCGAGGCGTTCCAAGAGAGTTTTTGTCTGTTACAGAGACTCCCTGTAACCACTCAGCGGTTTTCTAAATAGGTAACTGGCCCTATTCATCTATGCCAGGGGTCCCCAAACTATGGCCCGCGGGCCGGCCCCGGCCCATCGAGCCCTTCCTACCAGCCTGTGGCTGGTCCTGCTGCCGCCGCCACTGCTGCGATGCTACCGCCGCCACTCGCACCCACCGCTGGACGCCATTTTGGAACACAAAATGGCGTCCGGAGTCGTGCGCCTCCATCGTCCCGGAAGATCTGGGGGCCAGCGAACCGGCCCCCGGATCAAAAAGTCCGGGGACCCCTGATATATGCTATGAACTATCGGGGGGGAAAGCACATTCTTCCAGGGCGGTAGTGACATCCTCCGCTTTTCTCAGTGGCGTGGCTCTGGAGGATGTCTGCAGGGCTGCTGTCTGGTCCCAGACATTAACTTTTATTACTCCCTGCCAGCTGGATACCAAGGCTAGACAAGGTGCAGCCTTTGGAAGGAAGGGCAGTGTTACTTTCTGGTCTTCACTGAGGTTTGTTGCTCTGCTTGCCTTTTACCTTGGGGAAGGAGAAAAAGAGAATAAAATACAGGTACTCATACTTGAAGTTAATAATGCCTTTACTGTTGGAAAATAAATACGCTTTATTTGATCATTTATACTTGGTGTCCTGACACTCCCTCCTCCGTTGACCAAAGCTTGTCTGTCTTACCCATTTGTGTGTATTCATAGAGACCACAAAGGAGAAGGACAGGTTCCTTACCTGTAACTGTAGTCCTTGGAGTGGTCATCTGTGAATTCAGCCAAATCCTGCCCATCCTCCCCTCCATCGTGCCGTGCGCACTTCTTCCTTTCATGCTGCTATGCGGCATACTTAAGAAACTGGCAAAGAGCGGAAACGTTAGGGGCTTATATACCAAGGGGTGGACCTACCGCCAAGAAGTCTTCCCTAGCGATTCTAGAAGACTCCGAAGCTTACTGCGCAGGTGCAGAATAACCCATTTGTGTGAATTCACAGGTGACCACTCAAAGAACTACAGTTACAGGTAAGCAACCTGTCCTTATGTTTCATAGAGTCCTTAGACATAAAGCCAAAAGGTCATTTTATACACAATACAGTGGGCCCTGGGTCTCCATTGGAGTTTGGTTCTTGGAGCCCTATGGATACCAAAATCCGTCGATGCTCATGTCCCATCTTATACAAAGGGGTGTTACTACTACTACTACTACTACTACTACTACTACTGCTACTGTGAGCCCTTGGTATCCACTGGTTTCAGGACCCCCTGTGGATACTAAAATCCATGGATGCTCAATTCCCAATAATTACAAAGATGTAGAAATGGTGTCCCTTCCATAAAATGGCAAAATTATGGTTTGCTTTTTAGAATTTTTTTTTAATATTTTCAAACCGTAGATGGTTGAATCCGTGGATGCAGAATCCATGAATACAGAGGGCTGACTGTCTTTTTAAATAATTTTGTGCACGAAACAAAGTTTGCATACCATGAGCCATCAGAAAGCAAAGATGTCACTCTCTCAGTCCCCCAGGTGGACAAGTTTGCAGTATTTCAGATTTTGGAATTGCTGACAAGGGAGACTCAACCTGTAATATTTTTAAAATAATTTTGTGAATGAAACAAAGTTTGCATACAATGAACTATCAGCAAAAGTTTGGCTATCTCAGACACCTCTGTGGACAGTTTTGAAGTAGTGGACCCTCAGTATCTTTTGGGATTTGGTTCCAGGACAGCCCCCCCCATGGATCCCAAAAATCCATGGATGCTCAAGTCTTATTAGATTCAAATTAGATTATTATTATTATTATTATTATTATTATTATTATTATTATTATTATTATTATTACATTTACAATGGGGGCTTGGTATCTGCTGGGGTTTGGTTCCAGGACCCACTGTGGATACCAAAATCTGTGGATGCTCAAGTCCCATGGCATAGTTAAAATGGTGTCCTTTAAATAAAATGGAAAAATCAAGGTTTGCTTTTGGGAATTTATATTTTTTGGAATATTTTCAATCCGTGGGTGCTTGAATCTGTAGATACACAATCTGTGGATATGGAGGGCCAAATATATTTCAGCTTTTGGGATTCCAGATAAGGGAGCCTCCACCTGTATTAGGATTCTTATTGAAAGGGGATGCCAACTCAGAGGTTATGTGAAGAGTAGAAGAAGTGCCCTCCACCTGTCTTGGGTTGTGGTTTGACTTTTGCAGAATTGGAGTCTCAAATTCTTGCGTGATTCTGTCTTTAGGTGTCTGCGTAGCCGGCTATGAAATTGGGAAGAGGAATGAAGTTCTCCAACTTGTCCTACCCCAGAGATTGTATGCCAAGGAGAACCAGGTAATAATGATGGCACAGAAAACCCCGGAAATGCCATTGCCTTTCCCAGAGGCTGAGAGTGTGTGACATGCCCAAGGTCAATCAAACTTGCCCAAGGTCAGTCAAACTTTTGGAATTATATTGAGAAGTTGGTAGCCTATATGTCAGAGTATAGGATTACACCAGTATAGGACAAAATTAGAAAATTAAGTAATAAAATGCAGCCCAGATGTTCTGGCCACTAGCTTCAATAATAATTCTTCTTTTAAAAAGTGCTCCTCTAAAGTAAGTAGTTTGGGTTGAAATGATGCCAGCGTAAAAATTTGTTTCTGAATGGCATTTCTCGCACTGGAAAATAAAGTGATGAAAAAGAAGCAACTGGTACTGGAGACTGGTCTAACCATGAACAATGGCAAATAACCTACTACAGTTAAAATGTTTAAATTCAAACAGTTATATTGCAGCACGTGGGCTGGGAAATGGTAATAATAGCTAAACTATATAGGAATATATCGTTTATATATTCATATATATGAATATCATTCATATATAAACTATAGATGAATAATCAATTAAAAAACCCAGAAGTGTTTTTTTAAAGAAATCAAACCAAATAAACCAAATGACTTCTTTAAAAAACAACAACACTCCTGGTTTTTTAAATGCATTAGTGATATATATTCCTATATAACATTATAAGCAAGGCTGGCTGGTTTAAACCAGGTTAGAAAAATCCATGGCTTAAACCAGGTTAGTTTAAACTGTGGTTTAAACCAAGTTAGATTAAACCATGGTTCAAGCCAAGTTAGTTACTTTAAACCATGTTTTGAACCTTGGTTTGAACTATGGTTTCAATCAGGGGTCAGAAACCTACGGCCCGGGGGATGGGTGCGGCCCCCTGAGGCCTCTGGACCGCCCCCCCCGCCGCCGCCATTTTGTTTTCCAAAATGGTGGTCACGGCTCATTCACGCATGCGCAGGAGTACTTTTGGGTTCTAAATGTAGCTGATCTATGAGGACCTTGCCGATCCAGATACTTTCAGATGGCTGCTTTGGATTTTTACAGGGCTTATGTCCGGAAAGAGATTTTAAGGTCGAGCACGGTGGGTTTTCTGATCGCCCTGTGTACAGGCTGAAGCACGTGCCAGGAACCGGGTATGTGGCGTTCCAACTTCTCTGCTGCTCCTTTGGTTGCTGAATTGAATGTACAAATATTCCAAAATAATAAAAAAAAATCCAAAATCCAAAACACTCCTGGTCCCAGGCACTTCACATATGGGAGACTCAACCTGTTTCTTCCAACTGTTATCTCAGCTGTTTTTAATATGGCTGTTTATTTAGTTGCTTTGTAGCTTTTGTATTACCCAAGCATACTTGATTTTAACATTATATTGTATTTTAACTGTTATTTTTATGTCTTTTTTCTTTCTTTTCCTTTCTTTCCTCCTTTTTAAATTGTGCTTTGTATTTTATTATGTTGTACCTCGCCTCGAGCTTTGAGGATAGGCAGGAAATTAATAATAATAATAATAATATTGTGAGCTGCCTTGAGTTCTATGCTGGGAGTAAGACAGGATATTAGCAGTGATTCTGGTGATTCAGAACTCAGGTTCGCTCCTCATGTAAAATTTGCAGAGAGCTCAGAAAGAGTATGTGTCCAATGCCTGGGGTTGGGAGGTGGGTGAATGTAAAAGATTCCCTCCATTGCTCAATAGTTTCCTCCTTCTTTGCTTCTCCTTGTTAGCTTGCTGGTGACAAGTGGACCACCGGACAGTACCTTGCAGGTTTGGCGCATGGAGCCGGATGGGACAGGTGTGTGAGCCAAAGGCGGCTAAGCCACAGGTTTGCTGTAAAGGTTTTGTACCTTCAAGTCACTTCTGAGCTATGGCAACCCTAAGATTGAACCCACTACAGGGTTTTCTTGGTCAGATTTAGCCCAAGGAAATTTGCCCTTGCCTTCCTGTGAGGCTGAGAAAGTGGGACTCACCCAGTGGGTTTCCATGGTCGAGTAGGAATTTGAATCCTCCTCTCCCAGTGTCCTAGTCCAATCCTCAAACAACAACATGCTGGCTGTAAGACATAGCAACCATGGAGGGACTCAAACCCTCAGTTTTCTGATCCGAAGCCAGAAGACTTACCTATTAGGCCATGCAGTCACTTGGATTCGGCCATGGCTTCATCTACACTGCAGATATAAGGCAGTTTGACACCACTTTAACTGCCGTGGTTCAATACTATGGAATTCTGGGCTTTGCAGTTTTAGCAAGTACAATAGCAAGTACATTTCTATACCGCTTATCAGTGCACTTAAGCACTCCCAAAGCGGTTTACAGTGTGGAAGCCAATTGCCCCCAACAAGCTGGAGAGTCATTTTAGCGACTTTGGAAGGATGCAAGGCTGAGTCGACTCTGAGCCCCTGGCTGGGATTGAACTCGCAACCTTATGGTTTGCAAGTGAGTGGCTGCAGTACAGGCATTGAACCACTGTGCCACCAGGGCAGTATTCAGCCTTCCCTGTCAGAGAGCACTAGGGCCTCAACAAACTACAAATCCCAGGATTCCATAGAATTGAGCCATGGTAGTTAAAGCAGTGTCGTTGTATGTGGAAGACTTTTTGAATAATCTTGAATAGCAATTTGTGACATTGGATTATCAAATGATAACCAAATTATTTGGGCTTCTGTACTTTACCTACAAACTTTGTAATATTACTCCAAGACCCCCCTCTCCTTGCGCCCCTCTTCTTTTTGATATAATATTAATGTCAAAGGCTAAGGGAGACATATAGCCACAAAGGCAACCCCACCACGGAGGAAGCTGCCTTAGCATATGAGGACATCTGGGACCATATCTGGGGATCTGGGAGGCTCAGCAGGAGGCAGCGCAAAGGCATGAGGCTGGGAAGCAATTAATCAAGAGTGGACTTTGCATAATTCTTTCACTGATTGGGTACGATTATGAGCGCTATACCTTGTATTTATAGGCAAAATGAAATCCAAGCATACCTCGCTCAGGGAAAGGTACTCTTTTGTCTAGGATCATTTGCATTTATCGTCCAACTATTGTCTCCTTCCCTTTCCATTCTCCCTTACTGGAAAATCCACTCAGATCCCAAATTCTGCTCCGGGATAGGTTTTGCAATATATATATATGCCCACTTAGGCACTTCTACATCGGTCTCACTTGAGGTCAGACAGACACTCTGTCCGTATC